AGTGTAGGTCCTGTCCTCCCCAGGGTGTGCCAGGAGAGGTGGGCAGGACTGAACCCCATGGCTGGGCCTGCATCTCCCACCTCTGCTCATCCCAGACCCTGCTTCTCCCCTGCTGATGTCCCAGTCCCTCCAGGACTACTGGGCTGGCACTGGATGGCAGGGATACATGTGTGCTGACAAATAGTATTTTCTTGACCTGGCTGGCATCCTTTAGGTAGCCACACCCCTCAAACACTGCAAAGTCAGCCCCATCAGTCAGGAGATGGAGACAAAGGAGAAGGAAAAAGCAGACCCAGCGCGAGGTAGTGGGGCTCGTGGCAGCCCTCCTGGAAAGGAAGAGCATGTCTGGTTGACTCAGGGTGGGGGCATGGGGCACAAGGTCAAGGGGGCAGCTGTCACCCCGTAAGCTCCATGAGAAGTGCACATGACAGGGTCCCAGCCCTCATGACACCTGCTGCAAAGATAAACCTTACAGTCGGAGGCTGGGGAGGCTCCCTGGAGAAGGTGACAACTGAGCCCTGAAGGGTGAGGAAGGAAGCACTAATGAGCCTCAGGCATGAATTCCCCCTGCTCCCGGACCTGCCGGGCAGCCCCCGAGGGATGGAGGGTGAGGCGGCCAGGCTGCTCAGGCACCAGCGTCTTGTGAAGATGTGATGCAGGTGCACACGTCAGGCAAGGGTTTGGGCCGGGAAGGACAGCGCAGGCGCTCTTCCTGCATAGCCATCGCAGAGTGGGTCTGCTTCACGCATCCTGTCTCTTAGCCTCCTCGACCAGGAGTCTAGCCAGGGTCGTCACTTTCTCCTGGCAGCAGTAGACACACAGGAGGGCAGGCAGAAATGAGTGTGGCCTCTGTGGCCTGGGCTCAGAACCACACGGTTCCTCTTCTTCCCTCGGGCCCTTGGCCGGAGCAAGCAGGAAACGCGTTCCTCCCAGGAGGAGGTCGCGGTGAGGGTCTGAATGTGGAGTGGTCGGCTGGGGAGCAGCGCTCAGGACCCGCGGGGTGCGTGACTAGACTTTTAGAGCTAAGGAGGGGATGGCGGTGCACTCGTGTCCCAGGCCAGCGGAGAATTGTTTGAAGCGCCTCAGAAGGAGTTAGCAGCGTTCTCTCAGCCTGGAGCATGGGCCTCTCAGACCTTAGAGAGCAAGGCCCTGATTCTAACCCCAGGAGCGATAAGGCCCATGTTCAAAGACGGTGCTCAGTCGTGTAGTGCAGGCTCTGGAGCTCGGAGCCCGGAGACCAGCAAAGGCTAGAGAAGAGCTGGACAGCAGGTGCAGGATACTCGCACCTGGCGTCCAGCGGCACCGGCTCCACAGCAATCCCTGAGCCGAATCTTCCTTCCTCGCCTGGGAGCGCCCCATTAAACAGAGGAAGAAATGGGGGCACGGAGAACTCAAGTGACTCACCTGTGGCCACACAGCTACTAAACATGGGCTCCAGCGTTTGACAACCAGAGCTCGAGGGTTAGTCCCCAGGGTCCATGGCCAGACTCCGGAGGGGAAGGGGACAGGTCAGGTGGAGACAGATGTGCAGAGAGGAGAGCCGCCTGGGGCTGGAGCCGCACAGAGGCCTGCAGCCCTGCTGGGACTATAAATGGGAGCAAAGATAGGCTGTGAGATTTGGCCAAGGTCCTGCAGCAGGCGAGGCGGGAGGCTGGGCTAGAAATCCTAGCTGTTGGCTCCTGCTTCGCTCTCCTTCCACTCTGCTGGGTACCAGCGCATTCTGGGCTTTCTGCACCCGTCTGCGCGGCCACGCCTGCCGCGTCTCCCTCTTGGAAGAGGTGCAACCCACTGGCGTTGGAGCCGGGTGGACCGGCTCCCTCTCTCCCTCCGTCTCTTTCTTCCTTTCCCCTGCCACGTTCTGGAAAGGGCAGCGGGAGGGAATGTGGGCAGGTTGCACCAGAGATTTACATCTGAGAGCTGAAGGGAACATTTATTTTTAATTTAGACTTAAAAAGAAAAAAAGGAAGTTATAAAATATCTGCTCCTGCTCCTGGGATTGCGCAGATGGTGCTGCGCTTTGCCTATTAGGGAACAGGGCTGGCATCCGCGTGCTGCGTCCCCGCTCACCGCGCGGACCTGGAGGACAGGGTCCCTGCTTGTCCGCTCAGCCCAGGGCTCCCCAGGGCTCCCCAGGGCCCCGTGTGGCCAACGCAGCTTGGTGCCCGCTGCCGCCTAACTTCACCCTCTACAGTCTGCTTCTGCCGATTTCCCAAACCTCCTGCCCAGTCAGGGCGGTCCCTCAGCTCTCCCTGCTCCTGTGCACACAGGCACACGTGCACACGCACATGCATGCCCACACACTCACATGTGCACGCACACATGCACATGTGAGCACAGCTCCGCTCCATCCCCCCTCTCCCTTTGCAGATAACCAGGGCACACTGTCCTGGCCCCTCCCCGAATTCCTTTTGGATTTGAGAATTTATCAACTCACACCAAGTACCTGTTAAACCATCTTGTTTGCAGGCCTCAGGGCTACAGAGGACGATTTGGTACATTTTCTGTCTTTGTGTTCCGGGTTTGGAACCACTTCCTCCTCTCTCCCCAGTATTCTCCCAGGGTGGGGAGGGGGGATGGCAGCATGCAGTGTGGGACACAGTTGGTGCCCCTACACAGGCAGGAGGGGACTGAATCCCCTCTTCCTTTGTGCTCTGGGGGATGAGCTGGGCAGTCATGGCCCTAAGGCCAGGAATCTGAGACCTGAGTGTGTCACATTGGACAGATCACTGAATTCCTCTAAGTCTCAGTTGTCCCATTTGCAAAATACGGAAGGTAATCTCTGTTTTTGTTTGGTCCCCAGAGTTATTGTGAGAATTATGGTGAGAGACACGTGGGGAAATCTGGCTCTTTAAGAAGGTGCAAGATGTGTTACAGCATCCAGGGGTGCTGGCATGGACACCAGGCTGGGCCAGGACAGAAGTGGGGATTGTCCAGCAGGTCATAGCCAGGTGTAGTGTGTGTGTGTGTGTGTGTGTGTGTGTATGTGTGTGTGTGTGTGTGAGAGAGAGAGAGAGAGAGAGAGAGAGAGAGAGAGACAGCCCGCCCGGATCCTCATTTAGGAGTCTGTGTTGTTCTGGGAAAGAACTGAGATCACTTTTAAAAATGTGTGCCGCAGGATAAAACAAGCGAGGGCGAAAATGAGGCACCAGGAAGTTCAGGGAGAGGGAGGCAGGACCGAGGACTGGGCCTGGAACCCAGGCAGGGCAGCTCTGTGTGCTTGGCAGAGGTGGCTGGGGACAGCTGGCCTGTGTTTCTTGACAGCCAGGGCAGAGAGGCTGTGAAAACCAGAAAAAATGTCCCCCAGTGGGCTCATCGTGGGATCCTGTGATGGAATAAGCCTGAGCTCTGGTGTGTCGTATGGTGTCCCTGGTGTCCAGGCACATTCCAGTGGGGGAGGGTGTTAAGGAGGAGACAGCGTAGCACACCCTGTGATGGAAACTCCGGGCTCGGGAGAATGGGGTGCTGAACTCCAACCAGGGAATAGCGTAAATTCTCTGGCTTTGGGAGGCAGTCACACATGCACACACACACACACATCTGTGCACACACGCTTACTCCCCCCCTCTTCAGGCTCAGCTTTCTCTCTGTTCCTGGCTCCTGACTCAGGGCCCTAGGGTGCTCCCAGTACGTGGAACCCCATCATGGGCAGAGACAGAGGGGCTGTCTCTGTTGTCATCATGCCTGCCACTTGGAACAAGGCTGTCAGCCGAGGTAGGACTTCCGAGGTCTTGCCTTTGCTTTATAGGTCAGAAAGCTAAAGTCTGGAAGGGGCCATCTTCCCCCAGGGGCCACAGCGGGACTGGGCTGAGGCTGAAGTCTGAGGTCTCCTTTTTGTCACTTTGGCTCCCTAAGCTGCCACTGCAAAGGAGAAACCCAGTCAAGATCTCACTTTGGTAGAAAAATCTAAATCTCCTAAGAGAATTCCTCTTTGGAGCTGCAGAATGCTTTTCCATTATGTAATTTTATTCAAACTGATATGGGCCAATAAATATATAAGTGTGTATGTGTGTGTGCGGTGTTTTAAAACATTTTAATGTTTAAAACATGATTTACTAATGCTGCTGAGGATGTCTAGAATTTGATTTGCTGCATAGTATTGAATGTTTATACTTGTTCCTTGCAGAAATTCTTGCCAAAGAGCCGTTTTATGTACGGGAATAATAAATAAGTCAATATGCGGATGATTGTGCACATTTTCCCCATATGCAGTGATGCTTAGGAGATTTGACTTTGTGCAGAAACACTCAGAAGGTAGACTGAGTCACCCACATGGAGCCCTCAAGTCCCCAGTCTGGGCCAGCGTGGAGTCAGAGTTACTCTTGCTTTTGTTAATAAATAGAAGGAGTCCAGGTGATATTTGGGCTTAGGAAATAATGGATTCATACTTAGCTACACGGAGTAGCCACAGTTAGCCATATGTGTGCATTCATTCAGTCATTCATTCGTTCATACATTCAACACGTCTGTTAGACATTTACGTTTCCTTCAGTAGCTTAAAATCAGAGCAGGCTTCTCCTTCCTGGAGGTCCCCAGGTAATGATACAAATTCCCCCAAGTTCTGTTTAAACACCACCTAAGGCCTCTGAAAATGCTCACAGCAGTGGTGGGGGGTATGCAGGGCGCAAAGGTGTCAGGTTACAGCAATGGAAAGAGGGATCTCCTCTTGTCTGTCTGTCTGTCTTCATCATCCCTCCCCCCCCCCCATGAAAATACTATGCAGAGACACCCAAGAAGAGTGTGAGAAAGTGGCCCAGAACCTGACCCCTGGCGACAGTTAGCGCACAGCAGATGCATCCATGCTTGGAGGTGTGTGTGTGCGCGCACATGTCTGTGCCTTTGGAGAGAAGGGGGTCTCTGTCCTCACAGAAGTGGATCACGCTATGAAGCCCACCCCTCTGTGCTGGCCCAGCTTGCTCTTGTTTGAGGGTGCATGATTTTTCTTTGCAAAAGTGTAGGATGTTTCTCCTGCCGCCTTCAGCCTCCCTCTATCTCTCTCACAGGTGGTCGGTCTCCTCCTGCCCAACCAGACGCTGGCATCCACTGTCTTCTGGCAGGTGAGAGTCTTAAAGGAAGTGTCCAAGCAGGTGCTGGCGAAGAGCTCCCTGCCCTGGAGGCTCCTGCCCCGCCCAGGCCCAGAAACCACTGGAGACTGAGCTGGGACTTTGGCCCCACTGAGTGGGTCCCTAGAAGCCCAGCAAGTCTCGGAGGCCATGCCGTGTCACTGTAACCTTTGGAGGGAGTGCTGAGGGCTAGGCTGGGTGCCCTCCCCTGGGACACAATGGTTGGCCACCCAGTCTGCCTCGTGTCGACATCAGCCACACGCACATCTGTAGGGGAGGGTAAATTCATTCTAACCCCAAGGCAGAGAAGTACATCACAGACCTGGTCCCTGCTCCCAGGGGCAGCCGGGGTCATGGCTTGCTGAGATCAGTTGCAGATGCCTCTGTGTGTGTGTCTGTGCAGGGGGGTAGGGTGGGGGGGGGTGTGGTGCAAGGAAGATCTGTCTGTATCTGGGAGAAGATCCAGTCTTCCCTGAACAAAACCCCTAGGGCATTTGTGTCTGTGCTGGAGGTGGTGCAGACCCTGCGCTGGAAGCCTCCTGCAAGAGGGGCAGGGCTACCAATCATTGCAGGAGCCTAAATGCATCCCCCCCACACACACTTCTGTGCAAGGATGGTGTGGCAGAGGCAGCAGAGCCACTGGGGCATCAAGTGCCGTGGTTCTGTGGGGCCAGGTGGACTGCTGGGGTGGGCGCGACCACATCCCACCTGAGACTCGTGACATTGGGTGCAAAAACCAGCATGGGCCCAGGGAAGCTGAGACAGTTGGTCACCCTAACCAGGGGGCTGGACAGGACCATCTGTGAGACTGGACACAGTGTCCTGTGGCTTCCTGCACGTGTGCGGCCTCCCAGGGCCCAGGCCTGGCTTTCAGGAGGGTGCCTGCACTCGCCCTGACTTCTCTTGACTTCTCTTCTCCCCTTGCTTTTCAGTGGCTGAACCAGAGCCACAATGCCTGTGTCAACTACGCAAACCGCAACGCTACCAAGGTGAGTGCCGATGGCAGGGCTCTGGCTACGGTGGCCTGGTCATCCTCCCTGTGGTGCAGGCTAACACCGCCCTACTCTCCAGAGCTGGCACTGCCCTGCTCTAGTGCCCTCATGTGAGCGGCCAGCCCTCCAGGAGGGGCAGTAGATTCAGGCCTGTCTTTGGCTGTGCTTAGCAGGAGTCTGGAAGCAGGGCCCCCTCTGAGGGGAGGAGCTGTATACTGGGAGTGAAGAAGCTTCTCGAAAGGGGAGTGCAGTGGGTGCAGTACAGGGGTGAATTCTGCTGGCTTTAGAATTCTTACACGCAGGTCTTGGACTAGGAGGAAGTTCTCCACCTGGGGGCCCGAATCCCCCAAAGCTTCCTCCTAGTGTGCCTGGAGGCTGCCACAGTACCCCCTGCTCCCAGACTGCTGGCCACAAAGCTAAGCTGCGGGACTTGAGAAGACCTCCCCCTCAGCGCCCCTGCACCCCTGGGATAAGCTTATGGCGCAGGTCACACTTCTCTCGTCCAGGAAGAGCTGCCTCACCCCTGCGTCACTGGCAATGCCATCCGTCCTTCCGGTCAATGCAAAGGCAAAGGGAGGGGAAGGACCAAAGTCTCTCTGGGAGGCCATTGGTTTGGGGAAGGGAGGGTCTCCGTATTTTCCTGGGGAAGAGGGTGGGGCCTGGGCAGTAGCACCTTGAGCTTGACCCTCTGAGGGTGCCGCCCCCATCTACCCATCCAAACCAAGTCCCCTAAGCCCCTCACACATGGGCATCTCTGCTTGGCTCGTTCCAGTTACCTTCAACCAAGCATCTCCCAGATGAAAATTGTATAGGACACATTCCTTAGCCTTTTCTTAATTTCCTGGGTTGGGCCTTGAGGTGTATTTTTCTGTAGAAGCACTGGGTAGCCCTCATATATTGTCATGGGAGCCCAGGTGCTACAGGGGCCAAGGCCTGTGAGCACCCCTGACCAGCCGGTCGCCACACTGCCACTGCACCCAGGCAGAGACCCAGGCGCACCAGCTCCCTCACGTTTCTGTCTGAAACGTCGGCACCGCCTGCCACAGCCGCCAGTGCTCTACCTGGGCCCCTGCTGTCCTTCCCAAGCTTTCTAGAACAGCGCGGAAATGAAGTGGGCCCTTTGGCGTGTCCCTGGATACCACCTCCATGTGCTTCTGTGACGGGCTGTGAGCTGAGGGAGGCCTGGACTCCTTGGGGTCCTGAAGGACCCTTCCCCCCACACACGGCCTCCAGGCTGCTGGGCAGGGGTGCTTCTTGCTGGCTGAGGCTGTTTGCAGGGTGGGGGTGTGTGGGAGCTTTGGGTACCCAGTGGGCCTGGAATTCTGCCTCTCTTCCAGCCTTCACCTGCATCCAAGTTCATCCAGGGCTACCTGGGAGCCGTCATCAGCGCTGTCTCTATTGCCGTGAGTAACCCACCCCCACCCCAGTTCTGCTCTCAGCCTGCTCGCAGCATCTCAGGCAGACCCTGGTGTGAGGGCCAGGAAATCTGTGGGAGATGGGTGTAGGGGCTGCCCGGAGTGCCACTCTAGGCAGAGAGGCTTTGATTGATAGAGTGCACAAGCAGGTGCTGGAGGGTGGCGGAGGAGGTGAGGGGACCCTGCAGGCACCAAGGGAGCATGGATGTCTGGGGAGGGCCTGAGTGCACCCCACAGTCCTCTCAGCAGCTGGGCTTCATGCCAGGGTTGCTGCGGCTCCCTCCCCATGGGGCCTTGGTGGAGCGGTCACGTGTTCAGTCCCTCCTGAAGGCCTGGTAGGTGCCACGTGACAGAAGCGTTCGGCTCATCTCAAGTCTGCACAGGATGCTGAGAGCAGAGCAGCATTCTCCAAGAGGCTTGTAGGCTGGGCAAAGGATGGACAGGTGGTCCTTGTTTGCCAGATGAGGCAGAGGGCAGTGGCACAACGAGGGTCTCGAGCCATAGCAGAGCAGGAGGTCACACTCCCGGGCCCTTGTGCACGCTTGTCCTCCCCATGAGCCCACCCCTGGTGCTTTCAGGATCCCTACAGGGGGCCTGCGCCACCCAGTTCCAGGGCAGTGAAGAGTGCCTTCACTACTCTGTCATTTCACTCACAAGGCCATAAACACTTGGAATTGGGAAGAAAAAATAATTAGAAAATGCAAATCAAAAGACATTCCCATATAATGAAATAAGTCACAAATAACCATCTTTTGGTGCAACCCACTTTCCTTGTCTTTGCAATGTCACTAAATAAACAAAACTCTTGTCCACAGTGATTGCAACATCCCCTTGAGTCCTACTCTGTAGTTACTTTCACCAGTAAAGACTTGAGGTGTCCTGAAATAACCTCATGTATATCACTCCCACGTAGACCGAGTTCTCTCCGGATCGCTGTTAAGTGGGGCGCCCCATCCCGTGCCCACAATCTCTTTCCTTCCCTCATCCTCTGTGTCACCACAAGCAAGGAGCCAGGCGGTACAGGTCTGTCCCAATGTACAGGTCTGTCCCAATGCGTGCCAAGAGGCTGCCATCCCCACCCTGGTTGTCCTGCAGCCCAGCACAAGATTTTGGGAGTCAAAAATATCAGGGGCTCCTGCTCCTGGGAACTGGGCTGAGGCCAGGGGCTCCCCTGAGAGCCGGAAAGACATTGGTTCCCTGCTCCTTGCTCCTTTCCATCAGAGCAGCACACGATCGCCTGGCTCAGCGGCTCGGAAATCCCGTTCCTTCCTGGACATGTAAGGGTGCGGTGGGCAGGGGCCAGAGGGGTGGCCATCGAGGGAAGGAAGGAGCTGGGTGACCCCACTGGGGGCCATGCCTGAATGAAGGGGGCCACTGTCCCAGGGGACTCCCTTCCTCCTGCAGGCCTGGGGCTCCGGGAACAGGGCTGAGTTTGTTGAAGGACAGCTCTGGGCTCACTGTGTCTCCAGCCCTCACTGTCCCACCAAGGGACCACCAGTCATTCTGTCCCAGCCACCTCCCAGGGCCCAGCCTCGCCCAGATTTGTGTAGTGGGGTTCTGAAGCCCAGGCGCAGCCCAGGACTGGGGCCTTGGGGCCCGCTGGGGTGCCCAGGGCTGGGGTCTCACCCAGCAGGGACCGGGGCCTCACTCTGGGCTGTGTCCACGCACAGCCCAGCTCCACAGCCGCTGGAGGAGGCACCCCCTGACCATGCACCTCTCCCCCTGCACGTCCTAGAAACTTCTGTGTTCCCCACGTGCTCTGTGATGCCCCAGCCCTGTCCCCGCCTTGTCCCCAGCCGCATGGCAAGTCGGCCATGGACAGGCCCCGTGCCTTGCGCCCCGCAGAGGGCAGCACAGGGCGCTGCTCCGACCGCGCTGATTAACGAGGTTGCTGACTGATGGCTGGCGTCGGAGGCCCCTGGCCGCTCCCGTCGGCATCTGAGCCGCCGCGGTGTCCTTCGCACAGCGAGGGGCTTACTCTGGCAGATGGAGCGGAGTTTCTGACTTGGAAAATCGGCAGCTTGCTTGCTTTTCTTTCCTGTGTGTAAAATCACAAAACCTCCGGAGAAGGAGGCTTTATTTTCTTTTCCTTTCCCTTGTTCTCCCACAACCCCAGGCCCCACAGCCTCATTAACTGATCTCCACTTCAATTAGTGACAAATCCCCTCCCAGGGCGAGCCTGTTAGGAGGAGATGACCTGCAAACAAGTGTCAGGGCCCCAGTGGTTGGCCCGGCTCTGGCATTAATTAAAACGAGTCCCCACAAGCAGGCGGCGCGGACTGGGGGGGTGGGGTGGACTGACAGACCGAGAGCAGGTCCTAGGGATGGCGAGCTGGAGTGGAGGCCGGCCTCCTCTGAGGAGCCTGGAGAGCCCTCTCCCCGCCTCCAAAGAGCCCCTGACCTTGGCCAGCAGCCCCCGAGATGAGGCATGCCCAGGTGAAGGCGGGGGCCAGGTGTGGGGTTTGCCGCCTCCCTGTGAACCTGCTATATAGACTTGGCAGTGCCTGGCTTCTTGCTTAAGAGTCAAAAAGAAATTCCGCCTTAAGTTATTTCTGAATTCTCACAGTTTGCTGTCTTTTAACAAAAGAAGCCTCTTTCGGTCCTCGCTCTGCTCAGCGCTGGAGTTTGTGTCGAGTGCTTCTGTGGTCAGCCCTGACTGGGCTCCGGCTTGTTCAGGGCAAGACCCTGACCCCTTTCGGGGGTGTCGGGGGGTGGCCAGCACGTGGCAATGCTGGGGGCTGCAGAGACAGGCGTGGCCTTTACTGAGCCGAAAGGGGACACAGCTGTACTGGGGTACTGTCCGAGTTATGAAGGAGGTGCCCGAAGGTACCATGGGGCCAGGGAAGGGGCCCCCAATTCAAACAAGCTGCCTCTAACAGAGAGCCCAGGAAGGCAGGGTGGGTGTTCCAGAGAGGGCACAGCACGCTCAGGAAGAGAGACAGATTCCAGAAACCATCAGCAAATGAGTGTGGCTGCCATGTGGGGCGTGAGGGGGGGAGGTGCTGCTGTTGGAAATGGAGCAGCAGCAGGGCCCAGTGCCTTGCTCTGGAGGAGAGAGGAGCAGCCAGGAACCCTCGCTGAGTGTGGTGCAGGGGCCACAGGCAGAAGTAGGCTGGGGGAGGCGTCATGGGTGGCTGGCAGCCCCAGCATGAGGGCCCGCTGCATGGGCACGAGGTCCAGATGAGGGTGCACCTGGGGCTGGAGAGGAAGGCTGTGGGCTGGAGTCCTTCGTGGCCAGTCAGGAGCTGGCTGGTGGAGCCTGGTGATGAGAGATGCTTCGTGGCCTTCCTCCAACGCTGGCCCTGCAGCTGGTGAGCTCTTCCCCAGCTCTGGGCCCTGGAGGGATGCAGTGGTTTTCTGTTACCCTTTACTGTGGGGTCCCTGCAACAGGCCCCTAAACCCGGAAGCCGCTTGGGCTGAAAGCTGTGTGATGATGTTCTGGTCCAGGAGTCACAGGTGCACCCTCCCCGCTACCTCCTGTGAGCCCCGAGAAGAGCTCAAGGTCTGGGGTACCCCCCGCCCCGAGCCAGCCTGTCCTGCGGGAGGCAGTGCTGCTGATGCAGTTTCTGCTGGAAACACAGGAACCACACGTGAAGGGAGGCGGAGGGTCCCAGAGGGGCCCGAGGCTGAACCCCAATTCCCATTGCTTACAAGTGACTCCATGTCCCTTGATAGCCCGGCAGTAATAGTCACTGGCTAACATCAAGCGTGTGCAGTGTGCCACTTATTGGTGAGGTGCTCATCCCATTCTACAGATGGGATGAAGACAGTGGCAGAGCTGCCCCAGCTTAGTCACATTCTCTTCTGCTAACACAGAGACTGTGTTTTTCTCTCTGTTCCCCCTGTGGCATAAAAGGAGGGGAGAAAAGCCAGGTGGCCTTCTGGACTTCCTGCTTGTAGAGGTTGTGATCATGCCCCTGCGGGAAGGCCCTGGAGACTGTGAGGAATTGCTTTTGAAATTTGTTAATTTATTTATGAAAGGCAAAGGGACAGAAAGAGACTCACAGAGAGAGAGAACTTCCATCTACTGGCTTACTCCCAAATGACCTCAACAGCCAGGGCTGGGCCAGATGGAAAGCCAGAAGCCAGGAACTCCATCCTGGTCCATCATGTGGCCATCAGGAATTCAACCACTTGAGCCATCATCTTCTGCCCTCAGGATTGCATTAGCAGGAATCTGGATCAGAAGCAGAGTAGCAGGGAATCCCACCAGACACTCCAGTGTGGAGTGCGGATGGCCCAAGCTTGACCCACTGTGCCACGGCACCCAGCCTGGAAGGAATTTTTTGGAGGCCTTTTTTACCCTCCTCCTCCCTTCACGCGTGGCTCCTGTGTTTCCGGCTGAAACTGCAGCAGCAGCCCTGCCTCCCGCAGGACAGGCTGTCTCTGTGTGTGTGTGTGTGGGGGGGTACCCCAGACCCTGTGCTCTCCTCGGGGCTCACAGGCAGTAATGGGGAAGGTGCACCTGTGACTCTTGGACCAGAACATTGTCATGTGGCTTCCGGGTTGGGGGGCCTGTTGCAGGGACCTCATAGCAGATGGTGGTACTGGCGAGTCAGACACGAAACGCAGCTCTGCTTCTATTCTGGGGAGGACAAGTTGCTGCCCCACCCCCATGGCAGGGGCTGATGCAGGTGGCCCACTGGTGCCTGAGGGGCATGGGTCAGGGGTCAGGAGTCAGTGTCAATCACTGCTGCTGGCAAATGAGCCACAGGCCACAGCTGAGCAGCTGGAGCAGCTGGAGCTGACTGGCATTTCAGCCTGTTCACAGCTCTGTCCCAGCCACCATGGCCACCTTGCTCTTGAACCCATTGCTGGGCAACAGCCTGGCTGGGGTGGAGGACCAGACCTCCATGGAAGGTCAATGGTCCACCTGGTTACCACGTTTCTTCTACAAAGCATGCCCTCTGCTGGGTATTTTTGGTACTTCAGAGATTCTTTGCCCTACCCCAAGCCCTTGCCCCCAAACCACACAAACCCTGACCATTTGGTTATATCATTTGCCACCATCCAAGAGTGGATCTCAGTTCTGACCCCTGCCCTCCTCTCCAGCACACCCGGTTTTCTCCACTGTTCCGTGGGGCAACCTGGACCCCCCTCCTTTTGTTTGGCCCCAGTAGTATCCATAACTGGCTGCAGAGCATGCTCTGAGCACCTGCAGGCAGCTCCACGCCCTTGAACCTCTGCTGTGCCTCCCCCCTTCCTCCCTGGCTGCTTCCTATTCATTCTTTGGGGCTCAGCCAGGCATCACCTTTCTCAGAAGACTTTGTGGCCCTTGGTGATCCCATCCTTCAAGGCCCCAACCCCTGGCCGAGTAGCTGAAGCGATCGGGGCAGGTGTGTGGTCAGGGCCACCTGGGCAGCAGCCAGGCTGGAGCATACCCAGTGCTGCTGTGGTGGGCAACAGGGGCCGCACAAGGCAAGTGTCCTCTGGGGCTCATTTTTTTCCTTCTTGCCTCAGAGATGGTTCCCTTGGTTTAGTCTAGCAACATTTATCAAGCACCCACTCGTTTCATCAGGAATTCAGTGAGGAGCAAGAGAGACACGGGTCCTGCCCACCGTGCTCAGGGTCTCCTGAGAGAGGCAGTCTTTGGGTCAGGAGCCCACAGGTCAAAATCTTCCGTGCTGTTCAGTTTACTAAAACAGATACGGGTCTCATTTTGACTTGAACATTTTTAAGAGGGTAAGAAAAAGAGACTTAGCGACTGTGGCAGGTATACAAAGTTCCAGGTTCTTTAAGAGATGGTGAGAGGGGAGTCCTGAGTGAAGGGGTTGGGGGGCTGGCATTTGAGCTGAAAGTGAGGAGGCCACGAGGGGGAACGGGGTGAGTAGGACTGAGTGGCTCCCTTAGGTCTGAACCCATCTGAGCAGTGTTTGTCCATCCTGAGGTCACTCTGGCTGCTGTGGAGTAGATTGGAGGGACGCGGATGGAGGCAGGGAGCCCACTTAGGGGCAGGCAGTCTTTCAGGAGAAGGGGATGGCATGTGAAGTGGTGGGAGTGAGGGACAAGAGGCATGTTCCACACCCAGACTCTGAACAGGGAGCTCCAGCCTTGGGCTGGATGTGGCCAGAAGGGGCTCCTGTCTGGAAGACTCGGAGGTTTGTGGCTTGAGCAGTGGAGCTGGGAATGGGTGAGAGGATGGGGTGTGTGATGAAGAGTGACAGTCTTCATTTGGGGGGTGTGAGGCCCTCTGAGCCAGAGGCACCCCCAGAGATTGGATTGCAGGCTGGAATGCCAGACACGGCCAGTGGGAGAGAGATGCAGGGGTTCTCCAGCCCCTTCTGGCCTCTCCTCGCTGGCCTTGTGGAAATTAGGCTGCAGTGGGCCCAGAAAGCCCTTGGTGCTGCAGGAGATGGCCACCGGCCATGCAGCCCACGACATTAAAGGTCCACCCCAGCCATGGGCTCAGTGCTGCCCCATTCCCCATCTTGTGGGAGCCCCCAGGAAGCTGGTCCACCCTCCTCTACCCCTGGCCTTCTGCCAGCTGCTCAGACAGAAGTGGCCAGAGAAGGCCCCCGGCCTCTTTAAGGCCAAGGCTGAAGTCCCTCAGGTCCTGCGTCTCCCAGGACTTTTCCTCCTGCTGGCCACACGAGGGATGCTTGGGCAAAACCTGCACCTTGTTTGTTTTCCCCCTGCCGAAGTGGAACCCCTGTTTGGTTAATTTCTATTTTGTGGCTTATCGGGAGGCTGTTCCAGCAGACCCTGGGGGACGCTCCACAGCGATTGTTCGATGTCTCATTATCTTCCCCCAACCTGATCATTAGCTCTGATTTTTCTGATCGCTAGCTGCTGTTCGTGATGGGTTGTGTGCCATTAATGCCAGCTGGTTCCCTTAAACAGGACCCACCATGCCAAGGAAAGCGAGCTGGCATTCTGAGCCCCCAGCCACTTGGCTTTTTCATTTTAATGGGATCCACCAAATGTTCCAGGCCAAAGGGCCCTTGAGGAACAGGAACAGACGGGCTCCCAGCCCCCGGCCTGCAGCCCACCCTGGGCTCCTTCCCCAGCTAGTGCTGTCCTAGCCACTGGGGCGGCCGGGCCTGGGCTGCAGGCTGGAGAGGACCAAGGAGAAGCGGCCGCCTGCTTCCTCCGTGTTTGTGCCCTCTCAGCTTTGGGCCTGCCGGTGGTGCTGGGTGTGGCGGCCGCTCCTACTCCCAGGGAGCTCGCTGCTGCACACAGGTGTCCATCCTAGTCTCCCAGGTGGTTGACAGGGGCCCAGGTACTTGGGTCATCATCTCCCACTTTCTCAGGCATATTAGTGGGGAGCTAGATTGGAAACGGAGCAGCAGGACTCAAAGATACGGGATGCCAGCTTTGCAAGTGGTGGCTTAACCTGCTGCACCACAACACTGACCCCTGCTCTCTCTCTTGTTTCTTCTTTCCTTCCCTGGGCTCCCATGTGAAATTAGGAAGACAAGGTGGGTCATTCTCCCTGGACAGGGCCAGCCCCAGCCTGTGAGGATAGTGGATGACTAGGGAAGGGCCAGCTCCAAGACAGGTGGGGCAAGTCTGAGTGTTTGCTCTTCCTCCTGCCCCCCACCCTGCCCCATCACCAGCCCTGTCCATAGTCTGAGGCTCCCCGCCCGCTGTGTCCTACCCCTCCCTGGTACTCCTTGCATTTTCCCAAATAAGCTTGCTGGTGTTTGAACCCACCTGCTGGCTGCTGGCTGCCAGGGCAGGGCAGCTCTGGGGCCTGATCCTCCTGACAGGAGCCGCCTTCCATTTTCCACTCATTTGGACCCAACTTCGAGCTGGCCTCTGTCAGCAAGGCTCTTGTCACACAGATAGTCGGCGGCGGCACCGCTTGCTTGCCCAAGATGGAAGATAACACCGTAAAGTTAAGAGGCAAGTGTTGCAACTAACAGGCTCTGGATTCAAATCCCAGCCTTGCCTGAGCCATAATAGCTGTCCTTGGGCAAAGCTCAAGGCTCTCTGAACCTGTCTCTTTCTTGCAGGGGGCAACGTGGACTATCCAAAAGCCTGGTAGTGGGGCTTTCTTTAAGAGCTTTCAAGGAGCTGGCACTATGGCACAGCGGGTTAAAGTTCCAGCCTTCAGCGCCAGAATCTCATATGGGTGCCTGTGCGAGTCCCGGTTGCTCCACTTCCAATCCAGCTCCATGCACCTGGGAAAGCAGCAGAGGATGGCCCAAGCGCTTGGGCCATTGAACCCATATGGGAGACCTGGAAGAAGCTTCTGACTCCTGGCTTCAGATCGGCTCAGCTCTGGCTGTTGCCGCCATTTGGGGAGTGAACCAGTGGATAGAAAACCTCTTTCCCTCTCTCTGTCTCTACCTCTCTCTGTACTCTGTCTTTCAAACAAATAAATCTTTTAAAAAGAGAGATTTCAAGTACAGGTGTGCTGAACCCCCTCCCTCTTCCTCCTCTTCATTGTGTGGGCCTGTCCTCTGCCTGCCCCCCCCCCCCCGCCCTTCTCTTGGGGGCAGAGGGAGCCATTTCTGAGTCCCTTGCTGCTGGGACTGGAGAGGCCTGGACTTGGTGCGTCCATCTGCATGGCAGGGGCGGCAAGGCCCCGTGTGGCTGGCAGCTCCCCAGCCTGCCCCGCTGTCCCAAGGCTATGTGTCTAAGCTACCACGTGTCTGCTGCCTCCCAGCCCACCCTTGAGCCAGTGTCAGTTTGAGACTGAGAGTGGTGGCCAGGTACCCGAGAACCTGGGCTGGGATTGTCAGGCAGCCCCCAGCTCTGTGGGGCCTGGCAGGCTGACTCATCTTCCTGCAGCCTGGGCCGTTCCTTCTGTGCTGCACCCTGCCCTGAGTGCTGAGGGCCCCAATCCCTAGAGGTCTTCCTAAGGTGCCAACAACCCAGAAGATTGAGGCCGGAGCCAGTCCTGGGGGTGCAGAGAGGCCCGCTGGGCTGCCAGGTGCACCAGGGCTGAGGCTGTGGGGTGAAGGAGGGAGGACAGCACCGGGGCTGGACCCAAGTGAGGAGGGCCCGGGGCAGTGGGGAAAGGAATCCTGGTGGCCTGGGCTGGGGAGGGAGCTGGGGTCCGAGTGAAGGCAGGGCAGTGAGTCCAGGATGGCCACTACACTCTCCATCCTGCTCTGGGCTGCTCCGCTGCACCCCGCAGTTACCCGTGAGCAGATGCAGGGGCCCACTGGGGGCCCCAAAAGGCTGAGTGGGACTGAGGGGTTCCTAACTTCCTCTGTTTGCAGAGTATATCCCTCCACCAGCCGCAGCCCTGCCAGCCCAGCCCTTTCCTGCACGGTGTGTGTGTGTCTGAGGTTTGCTCTTTTCCCTACTTCCCATGCGCTGGTGAACAGGATGACTGGGCAGCGGTACCTTATCTGTAAGAAAAAAGTTTTTTGAGAAGCAGAGGTCAGGGGGAGAGAGAAAAGATGGATCTCATTTACTGGTTCGTTCCCCAAAGGCTGACCATGATGTAAGCTGCTCCAGGGCCCAGGGCTGAAGCTGGGAGCAGGAAACTCAACTCTGCACCTCCACGTCGGTAGAAGGGACCCAATCATTTGAGCCACGCCTGCTGTCTCGCAGGGTCTGTGTTAGCAGGAAGCTGGAGTCAGGAGCTAGAGGCAAGACTTGAATCCAGGCACTGATTTGGGACATGGACCTCCTAACGGTGTCTTGTAACTGCTAGGCCAGTCACCCACCCCACCCGGCAGGGTTGCTGTAGCCACGCTTGCCTTCGCAATATCGGGTGACACTGAGGACTGGGGGGCCCCTTCACTCTGTGCTCTTCCTCCCACAGCCACTGCAGCACCATGCTCTTTTTCTGTTTTTCCTCTCCAAGGTGGGCCTTAATGTCCTGGTGCAGAAAGCCAACAAGTTCACGCCAGCCACCCGCCTTCTGGTCCAGAGATTTGTGCCGTTCCCTGCTGTAGGTAAGAGCTGCATGGCGCAGACACGCGCATGTCCCAGGGAGCCGGATGCCCTTCCACACCTCTCCTAGTGCCACGGGGGCTCCTGGATGGGGGCACTGGAGCGAAATATGCATGCGTGGAAGAAAAGACGAGGGGACCCACTGACCAGCCTTGGGCCTAACATTCTGGTTTCAGCACAGGGATTCTTAACCTGGACTCCCCAGACCCCAAAGGGCCTGCAGACTGACTGTATGCCGTGGGTCCTGTGAACTTGAATGTGGAAACTGTTTACACTAACCTGTAATGGAAACATAACATTTCCTTCCCTGGAGAATGTAGGCAGCAAACCACAGCGGGAAGCAGCGCCTGTGACTTTGTCGCCAGCAGAAGCCACAGATGTTCCCAAGTCACGCAGTAGTTGTTACAGAGATCTTAAAATGTCATCTGCACTCATCAATAAATCAATTATTTTTAAAGATTTATACATTTCTTTGAAAAGTAGAGTGAGAGAGGGAGAGAGAAATGAAGAGAGAGAGAGAGATTGAGAAAGATGGAGAATCTTCCATCTACTGGTTCACTTTCCAAGTGACTGCAACAGCCAGGACTGGGCCAAGCTGAAGTCAGGAACCTGGAATTGGGTCTCCCACATGCGTGGCAGAGGCCCGAGTACTTGGACCATTATCTGCTACTTTCCCAGGTGCATTAGTAGGAAGCTGACCTGGAAGTGGAGCAGCTGGAAGTTGAATGGGTACTCAGCTATGGGATACCAGTGTCATAGGTGGCAGTTTCATAGGTCCCCTCAAAATTATTATATTGAGGGGCCAGTGCTGTGGCACAGTGGGTTAAAGCCCTGGCTTGCAGTGCTAGCATCCCACATGGGTACTGGTTGCAATCCCAGCTGCTCCACTTCTAATCCAGCTCCCTGCTAATACACCTGGGGAAGCAGCAGAAGATGGCCCAAGTGCCTGCAACTGTGTAGGAGACCCAGCAGAAGCTCCTGGCTCCTGGCTTCGGATCAGCTCAGCTCTGGTCTTGTGGCTGTGGCATTTGGGGAGTGAACCAGCAGATGGAAGACCTCTCTCTCTGTTTCTACCTCTCTCTGTAACTCTGTCTTTCAAATAAGTAAAATAAATACTTTTTAAAAATTGTATTGAATACTTTGGTAGATCTTATGTTTTGATTCATTGATTAAAAAGCACATCTATTACCATACCACAATTTTTAAAATATTTTGATGACCTCATTGAATATAATCCCCTTGTAATGCTCAGTATTTGGTTTTATGCTCTTAGAAGCATTATTATGGGAGGGTGCACAGGTTTCAAACCTCGGAGCCTGGGGGCCCTTTGCACATTGCCAGGCGGTGGGGAGTATGCATCTGCGCGTGGAGGGACTTCTGCCCTTCTCCTGCCCTCTGCCAAGTCTTGGTTGGACTGAGCCTGTGTCCTGACAGCAGGTGCTCCTGGCCTGGGCCCTGGGGATGCCACAAAGCCAGGCTGGTTCTTAAGAAACCTGTGCCTTGTTGGGGAGAGGAGCAGCATGGTGGGAATTTCTTTCAGAATGAAAAGAAACAGACAACACTGAGAGTAGCAAGAGACAGTGCACAGTCAGTTGTCACAAGAGAGGCACAAGGGGACTTCAGGAAGGGGAATAAAAAGATGAGCTGCCTTTGGCGCCAGCAAAAAGCCTGAAATTCACATATGCAGGGTCTTCCAAAGTTCATGGAAAATGAGGAATATGAAAAAACTGTGCATGGACTTCAAAACTTTTGCTCCCGAATAGACTTATCTTTAGTTTCATTTTTTCCAACAACTTCTGAGGTCCCTTCAGAAGCAGGTACTGGTACCACAACAGCCGAGTCCCCCAGCTGGTGCCACAGGACAAAGACAGGGCCAGCCCAGCACAGGGCCTGAGGTCCTGTGACTTCCCGGTACCAGGCTCAATTAGAAGTTTGGGAGTCATACGCAGGCTCAGGGGCCCTGATCTGTTCCTTCCCTCCCAGCCTTTGCTTCCCCAGCTGTCAAAGCAGGCCGGTCTGCAGCTGCCTGTAGCCCCAAGCTCTGGGTGGAGCTCAGGAAGCCCTGGTCGAGTTGATAGGCAAGTGCTCTGAGCATCTGAAAAGCTCCAGTGAGGGGTTGGGGGGAGATCAGGGAGATCGTTACTGCACAGCCCCGCCTTCTCCATGGCCCAGAGGCTAATGAACTCCAGAACCAACCACCCGGCTGAGCCTCTGCCAACCCAGATAATTGCTATAGCAACTCCACACTTTTAATGAACTCTCAGCTATTTCTGTCGTGGACCATTAATGGAATAACTCTTTAGATGTGACTTTGTTAAGGGGACTAATTGAGCAAATGTGGCTGCCCAACTAGTGTTGGGCTAGGGGTCAGGGGCACCCTGGGAAGGGGGCAGCTCTTGGCTGCACTGGACTGGATCTGGGGCTCAGTGGAGATGTAATCTGTCTTGGGCCATGCCTCAGATAAGAACTTTGCCGGGGGCCCATTCCAGCCTTTCTCTGCCGCTGTGTGACCTTGGGGTGGTCTTAACCTCTCTGGGACCCCTTCAGGGAGAGTCTGAGACTTTCGGGCCTGCGGGCTCAGCTTTACTGCCCTCCCCTCTCGTCAATGGGGAGATGTCTTCAGGCCCCTTGCACAGGTCCAACCACTGTTGGGCATCTTAAGATCCCGTGCATCCCCAGCCAGTTGTACAGGTTGGTCACAGCATGGGTTGCATGCCTGACAGCAGTAGCTCACCAGGATCCTGAGAGAAGCAGGCCCTTCCTGCCTCCCTCCTCAGGCCCAGCTGGCTGAGTCCTGGCTGTGTTCCTGCCTGCCTTCCTCCCCCAGCCCCAGTCTCTCTTCTCCTGCATGCAGGCGTCCATCTCTCCGGTCCCACCATGTCTATCCCAATGCTGTCTGCAAATGGGCGGTTGCTGGCTGCCCTAGTCAATGATATTGCGATGAATGGGTGTGCCCTCGCCCACAGGGGCTCAAATGCCTGGCTGGTCCTTGCACTTGACCTCCCTCCACCCTACCCCACTGCATGCTGATGGAGCCTAGGCCCTGCCCAGTGCTCACCACTGCTTTCTGATGCGGGCTAGGCTGGACACACCATTAAAAGCTACGGAGAAACTTGCTCGGGATGTGCTTTCCCTCGTAGAGGGCCCTTTGCCCCCAGTCACTGGCACGGTGGGGAGTCAGGGCCACGGGGCTACGGCGCACCGGGGAAGCACATGGGTGTGAGTGGAAGTGGTGGCATGAAGCTCTGCTGGTTGGGAGTGGAGTGTGTGTATGTGTGTTGTAGCAGAAGGGGATCCTCAGGGTGACAGGGATCCTGAACAGGCTGGTGTCCCCTGTGCTCAGAGGCCACGCCATACCACCCTCCCGGGCAGCTGAGTACGCAAGCTGTGGGGAACAAGAAGCTCCCAGGAGTCTGTGGCTTCTTCCCACTTCTCTGCACCACCCCTCCTGGTATCCCTGCCCAGTCTGAGGCCTGGGAGTGGGGAAGGGACCGAGAAGAGGCCTGGTCCCTGCACCCAGCTCAGCTGCCCCCTCCCACTTGGGAAATGAAGCCTTTATCCCCTCTGGCTGCCACAGGACACCCCACCCCCACCCCCAGGATTTATCGAGCCCAATGCTCCCAGGGGCTCCACAGCTCGGCTCAGGTCCCCAGCAGGCCTCTCCTCTCTGTGTTCCTTGCTGTGTGCTGGGAGAACCTGCAGGCAGAGCTGCCAAACCCATTTTATAGGACAATAAGCAAATTCGCTCTCGCTGCATCTGGCCAGAGTCCAGGCCACCCAGGTCCAGCCAGGACTTCAAGCCCACCTGGATAACCACTGGCCCTTTGTAGCTACTTCGAGTCCTGCCAGGAGCTCTCTGTCTCCAGGCTCACCTCTGGGTTTTCAGGTGGTGTCGTTGCATGCGTGTGTACAGAGGTATGTGCAGCTGATGTAAGGGCACGCAAGCAAGCCAAAGCCCGGGGTTGCCCGGCACAGCGTGCTATGCCCCGGTCCAGAGCAGCAATCATGTGGGAAATCTCGGTTTCTGTTTCTATGCGGAGATGTCAGCAAAGACGGTGAGCCCAGGCGTATGTGTGCTGGCATCAGAATCGATTGGGGACTGGTAATTAATTTGTTTAGACCTTAATTAATTCTCCAGTTCTTTCTTATTTGTGGACTGTCACGCTTAATTGTGTTCAGGAGCTCGGGCTTGGAGCAGGCCCTCCATTAACTGCCGTGTGTGGCTGCAGGGCGGAAGTTAATGGTGTGGGAAGCTGGGCAAACAGTGTAATTAAAGGTCGAGAGAGGAGGCGTGGGCAGAAGCCACCCCCTCCCCGCCAGGTCCGGCACCCCTTCCATGAGCGGACTCCATTCCAGGAAGGCAGGCCCCACAAACAGCCTTCCTGTGAGGCCTTTCAGGAGGGGCGGTGGGCAAATCACCAGCTGAGGGAGGGCCAGGTGTGGGTCTCAGAAGGACACTGGCCAGAGAAAGCCACATCTGTCATCAGGAATGGTGGGCCAGGGCCTTTGAACAGGTGGAAACCCCAGTGTCACTCAGCAAGCCCAGGGTGCATGTGTGCATGTGTGTGTGTGTGCATATGTGCGTGTGTGTAGAGGGAGGGCAGGACATCCTGAAGGTCATCTCGGCTGCCTGGCTGCAGGCACATGGAGCAGGAGACAGCAGTGAGTGTCACAGGCTCTTAAGACCCCGTTTGGGCTCCCATTTCCCATCAGGAAGACGTGAGCCTCACACCAGCCGGCTGATTCCTTCCGTGGGAGACAAACCTTGCCTGCGTGGGCCGGAAAGGCCAGCCTCAGCATCTCTTCCTATGCCGTTCCCAGCACCCCTTATGTTAATGTCACAACGTATTTCACTGTCATGGAGACATCTCTGTGCTCTGTGCCCCGAAAGCCTCTTGCTCAGGGAGTCCCGGCAGTGTCTGGGTGATGGTCTTCCATCACTCACACCCAGTGTCCCCAGCCCCACCGCCCATGCTCAGGCTACCTGGCTTCTCTCTAGCAG